TTATTTTGAGAGAGAGGGAGACGCAGAATCGGAAGCAGGCTCCAGGCTCCACGAGCCATCAGCACAGAGCCCGATGCAGGGCTCGAACCCACGAACCGTGAGATCATGATCTGAGCCGAAGTCGGATGCTTAACCGACTGAGCCACCCAGGCGCCCCCAGGATATCCATATTTTAAATAAAGGCCAGCTCTGACCCTGAATTTGCACGACCCGGCAGCTTCCGCCCCATCCTCATTCCGGCCCGACCAGACCTTGAAGACGCTAGAGGAGCAGTTAGGGGACCAGGCGCTTCATCTCCCTCCCGAGACTCGTCCTTGCGGTCCCCGTCCCGTCACACACACAGCGTATCTGGCCTCTGAGCCGACAGGGGATGGGAGAGGGGAGCATTCTCAATTCTCCACACCGCTGCTTTGCATTAGGAGGAGGGTCCCTCCAAGTACAGCCGTGGACTTCAATGTGGAACCAGCCAGCGCTCTCGCGGGTGTTTGGCATTCCTTTCATCTGGGGCTACTTTTTAATTTCCGCAGGCTTTCATAAAAAGGGATCGCGAGAATTCAGGTTGAAATGCAAACCAGCATCAGCACGAGAATGTGGAGCCGCAGACATGAGTAAAGGGCACAGAAAACCCACCTCAAGAAAGACACAGCTTGGTGCCTGTCTTTGCTTTTTAAAGTGGGTTATGGGGATGGGGCAGCAGCTATTTGCAGGGAAGACTGTTTAAGCCTCTCATTCAGCTGCAAGGAACGGGCCCAGCTGCTCTCTTTGGGGCATCCGTCCCAGAAGAAACTGGAGCAAAGCTGTAGAAACTTCTTCCCCACCCTCACCCCCACCCGGTGGCGCCATCGCCAACCCCCCCGCCCCGGGGTTTCTCCCACACGTGGAATTTTATTTCATAAAGATCTTAGAGCCGGACACAGGCCCAGGCCAGGGTGTGACGGTACGTAATTCCTAGTAGCAGGAGGGAACAGTTCCTTTTAATAGCAGGATCGAGTTAAATTACGGATTGGCAAGTCTTTGTCACTCAGCAGCAGCTGAATAGTTTACTGCAGGTGCCGGGCTGGGAGCCAGATCTGCGAGATACACACGGAAACAAACCCTACCTCACCCTCCCGAGTCTCTGCGTGTTGATGGTGACAGATCTGCGAGCTGCTGACGCCTTGGTGTGACAAGTACTGTACTTTGCGTGGAGCAGCTGGGCCGGGCCTCCCTCCTGGACCCCTTGCAGCCACCGGGGACTGCCTCGCACTAATGGTTCTCAGTGACTGCATAGTCACATCCCGGGGAAAGCTTTTTTAAAATCTCCCCCGGGGGGTATTTGGACACCCACATGCATAGCAGCGGCGTTATCCACAATACCTAAAGAATGGAGACAACACACACACACACACACACACGCACATGCACACACACACACAGATTCTAAGCATTGGTATTTTTTCAAAGCTCCTCAGTTGATTTTAATGTGCAGCCAGGGTTGAGAGCCATTGATTAGACTAACTGTCCTGCAGAACTGGCTGTGAGCACGGAAGGAGCTGGAAGGTGGAAGGCAGGTGGAGAGAGAGCCTGTGCCAGCACCCGCCACGTCCACGTCGTGAACTGCCCTCATCGCCCACGACTGGGACGTGCCCAGCTCGTAAGTCAGGCAGGTAGCTGATGGCTTGGTGCAAATGGCTGTCTGCGCACGGAGAGGAAGCAATTCAAGCAGCGCGGAAATGTACTTATCTCGCCCCTGAAGAAACCACTGCATGTCAGGGGGTGAGTGGTTTGCTCTCTGATGTCAAGGCTTCGGGGACAGGCTCCGGCTGACTCCTGGGCGGGCCTGAGTGAACCTACGCGTGGTGTCACCATCCTGCCAAACCAGCTCTGGTCCCACCTCAGAGATGGGTGTCTCATCTGCCAAGATGTCTCAGTGAGAAAGTTGGGCACCGCCCTGGCTCCTGCCTTCCCACGCTCCTCGGGGTGGTCACCGAGCTGAATTAATTCTGACTCACACCACTGCTAGAATCTTATTTCCGTATCTGATTATGCAGTCCTGTGCACGGGGAAGTGTCTCCATCTCCTGCTGGATGGGGATAATGCCACAGGTGGCCACAGCTGTAAGCTGCGGCCATCTGTGAGCTCTGGGGGAATCGACCTCGGAGACAAGTCAGTACTGTCGTGGCAAAACACGGGGGTAGAACATGGTGGCCTTGATGACATCCTTGAGCTGCTGATGTACCACCACTGGGGCCACACTACCTCTCGGCTTGGTCAAGGTAAAAAGTTCATCATTGCTCAAGCTGATTTTTATTGAAGTCTTACATTTCCCATAGAGAAAGGTGTCCTAACCAATGATTTACAGAAACATGTGTGTGTGTGTGTGATTTCACGTTCTCTTGGTTTGAAGAGTAAACCAATTGTAGCCAGCTGCGGAGGGAAATAAAGGAAGAGAGGGCAGAATGCGTTGGAAGGACTGGGACAGCTCTTGGAACTCAGCTCATGGAACTCAGGGTTGAGCAGCTAAGCCTCCAGAAGGATAGAACCAGGGCGTCTGAGAGCGCCTTCCTCTCCCACTAGAGTGCCACTGTTCAAAGAACCCCACAACCTCTCTCTCACATCAGAAATCTTAATTTCCAGAGATGAAAGCTTGATTGCCCTGGGTGCTACCCTTGGGCCAGTGAGCCTCAGTGAGGGGAATGATGGGACCCAGAGTAGAAACAAGACCCCAGAAGCCACCCCTGTGGGCTAACAAAGGCAGTGCCCTGAAAACAGGGGCCAGAAAGTTCTCACTCCTGAGAATGCCCAAACCCAAGTGGTTACCATCCCCGCGAGTCAGGACTCCTTGAGGGCAAAGAATAGACACTAACTCAAACTCACTTAAGCTTAAAGGAAAAGTCGTTATTGTTTCCTTTTAAGTTTATTTATTTATTTTGGGGGAGAGAGAGAGAGCAAGGGAGAGAGAGGGAGAGAGTGTGAGCAGGGAAGGGGAAGAGAGGGAGAAGGAGAGAGAGAATCCCAAGCAGGCTCCATTGCCCGTGCAGAGCCTGATGCAGGGCTCGATCTCACGACTGTGAGATCATGGCCTGAACCAAAACCAAGAGTCAGACAATTAACCACCTGAGCCACCCAGGCATCCTTGAAAACGTATTGGCTTTTATAACCACACGGTAGGAAGGGTAGAGGTACAGGTAGCCCTTGGGAGGATGGGACCTGAGGTCTAGATCTTTGTCGGAAGTCTCCCTATGCTTCCCTTAGCTGCTCTGCACATCTCTTCACATGGTGGGGTCATATTCTTGGGCTGTCTTCTCTCTGAGGCTAGACCCAAGGAGCTCTGGGCTTAAATTCTTTGTTTTATTCCTGAAAGGATTGCAGTGGGGAGAGTTTCCGGAAAGCGTCTAATGGCCTGGCCCGGACAATGAGCCCACTGCTGCGTTAAATGTTGTTGGAGGGTGCCAGGGATGGTGGTTGGTCCAGCTGGGTGGGGAGCCGGCTTGTGTGAGCAGGGGCTGTGACAGGCAGTGATGGTCAGGGTTAGGATTAGGGTTGGCCTGTAGGAGGGGCACTTCTCCAAAATGAAACGGATCTGTCCTTAGAAGAGGTACCCAGGGGTACCCTTTCTACATTGACACCGTTGCATCTTCCTGCACTTTCAAGGACTCAAAACTGGACATTATACTTGTTTATGTGGGGAAAGGAGGATGAGAGCAAATCAAGAAGGTCGGTCATACTCCGTTTTCGATGCCTGAAATGAATCAACTTGTACAGAATTGATTTTAAGTCTTTTGACTGATAAGGCGATCATCCCCAATATGTTAACGGTAAAATTAGCCGCAAGTTTTGTTGTTGTTGTGAGACTCGTGAATGGTCGTTCCGTTATTTTGAACTTGAATGAGCTGAAATGCTCTTCTATTTTATTGTCCCTGAATTGTTTGATGTGTGGATAATTATATAGATATTGGGTTTTATTTGCTTACTCATTTGTTTCGTTCGTCTCAGTATTGCTTTAGTTTTGGTTGCAGTTGGAGAAGGTTGAAAAGGCTTCTCAAATATTAAATTATCTGCAGCGCATACAAAACTGTATCCTGGCTTTGGACTAGAGCATTTTTGGTGGTTTTTTTTTTTTTTCTTCAAGTTCTTTGAAACTACTTTAAAAAAAAAAAAAAACGTACTTCAAACTGCCTTTCTTAATATGGAAAAGAAAGCTAATTATAATATAAATTATACCCAACCAAGCCTTACTTTCTGTTGTAGGATAAGTTCGTTACTGAGATAAAAAGGGAATTTGGTTGTGTTTTGGAGCACTACGTTATTACGCATATTGTTGTTTTCTTTACCTTGAAGAGACGTACTTTTACCCTTTTATGAAAATAGAGAATTGTTTCTGGTTTCAAAAGTAATAAGCACTCATGGTAAAGCATTCATCCTCTCTTGTTTTTAAAGTTGTTGTGGGTTTTGTAAAGACTAAATCGTTATTAGTTAACCACTATAGAAGTACACAGAGCCATTTGTTAGGGTGATATAACGGGAAACTGAAGACATTGTTATGTTTTTGTATTAATCAAACTAAAATTAGGGCATTTCCAGTAAGAACTGCTTGTGGTAGGTATTCCTAGCCATCAGCACAGGCAAATTAATTTTTTATTTCCTTTCTCCACCCTGTCCAAAAAGCCACAGTTGGGGCCCGGTTTTCCATCTGTTCTGCAAGTGTGAGTTGAGGGGGCCCACAGGAGTGCTCTGGATCCAGGAGGGGAGCCAGACTGAGCCTCGAACGCAGCTCGCAGAAGCTAGGCAAAGGCAGAAGTTGGTCAAAGCACTAGCATCACCCAGAGGCCAGCGGTCCCTGCAGGGCAGGACCCCCAAATTTAAAGGACTGAAGCAGACACAGACTGGTACTGGGCCAGTTCGCCTCCGACCAGAAGCCGCTTGTATCCTTCCTGCGGCGGTAGAAATCGGTTGGCCTACGAAACTGTTCTAGTCTGGTGTGTGGTCAGACCTGAGGGAATGTGACCATTAAGTGGCAATTAGCCTGCCTGGGGAGGAAGGCCAGGGAACTATTTGAGGCTAATGGCCGAGCAGCCGAGCCCAAGTGGACGAGGCCAGCAGCTACAGAGATGGTCCCTCTCGGTGGTGTCAGATGGGCAAGGTGGCCAGAGGGAAGCAGGTAGCCTACCTCCGTGAGAACGTCCCCAGAGTGCCCTTATGTCTCAGACTGTGGGAGAGGGAACTCGGGTAAATGCTCAAAGTCCAGATTGTATTGACAGCACATTCACTTTTGCTTACGTGAATAAAAACAGCCACGTCCAGGGACAGAGCACGGCTTTGACATCCAGCACTACTGGGTTGCATCTGTGTTTTAGGTGAGTTCCAGTTACTAGTAACATAAGAATAAGAGATTGGATTGAACGTTCCATGGAAGCCCAGTGTCCGGAGGTTTCTTTCTTTCATTAGGTTCTTGCTTTTTGGATTATACAGCGTGTTACGGTTTCACTGAAGGGTGATGTTTTTCTATGAGCTTATAATTGTACGCCTCTCTTAACAGAAAATGCACTGGCTTCAAAATCTGTCCGATCAACTTGTGGAAAAGGAATCAGACCTTCCCATGTATTTACATATTTTTAAAAGAGATTCTTTGGCCCCTTGGGAAAAAATATATATATGCAAACTTCGACCATGATGCTCACTGCAGCTGTGAAAATATCCCACAAAATAAATATTGGCATGAACTTGCACCTTAGCCCCCTTGCAACTTTGTAAACTGTAACTAGTTTGTCCTAGGGCGGAGAGGTGGAGCGATTTGCTGGGATTCTCAACTAACCACCGAAACCCGAGAATGGAGCCATTTCTGAATCAAATTCAATCATAAGGAGCATTCGGTTTAGTTCAGTAAACTATAAGTTATTCACCTTCTCCAGAAGGCAGATGTACCCTCTTAGAAAAGAAGAATCCTACACATTTAACATCAGTACCCACACCCCAGTTCTCTGACACCATCCCTTAGCGGAACACCCTACACATGGAATTCTGTGTTATGTATGCTTCTGCCTTGGGCTTCTTTTACTCACCATTTTCTTTGTGATATTCACCCATGTTGTCATATAGATCTTTAGTCCGTTCATGTTTACTGACGTAGAGTATTAGAATGTATGCCCATATCACACTCTATCCCTCCTATGAAGGATGGATATTTTGGGTTGTTTCCAGTCGGAGGTTATTGTAAATGATGCTACTCTGAACTCCCTTTCACGTGGCTTTTACAGCAAATATGTACATTTTAACATTGGGTACGAATGCACAAGTAAAATTCCTAGGTCATAAGGAGTGTTCAGCTTTAGGATATGCTGTTGTGTCTCCTGAAGAATTATACCAATTTCCACCCCCTACTGGTGGTATATGAGATTTCCAGTTCTCTGCATCTCTGCCCACCCGCCTGATGTCGACCATTTTCACTGTAGTTATGCCCGTGGGTATCTAACAGTAGTCCATTGTGCTTTTATTTTGATTTCTCTGATGAATAATCGCATTCAGTACCTTTTCATATGTTTGTTGGCCATTTATATATCCTCTTTAGTGGAGTGCCTGTTTTTCTTTTGACCTTTGTTGTCGTTGTTGTTGTTGTTGTTGTTGTTTTTACTGGGTTGCTTGTCTCTATTGGTGACTAACTGGTCAGATATCTGTGCGGTATGGCAAATTTCTTTTCCCATCTGATGGCTTGCCTTTTTACTCTATTGGAATCTTTAGGGAAAGAGAGGTTCTTAATTTTAACCTAGTCCAATTATCACACTCATGTTTGTAATTTTCTGTGTCCTGCTTAAGATATTTTTGCCTACCGGAAGGTCATGAAGATACTCTCTTATGTTTGAGAAGATTTAGTATTTGGCTTTTCTAATTTAGATCTACAGTCTGCTTGGAATTGATTTGGATTCATCTTTGTTCTGTAGGGATACCAAATATGCTCAGCACTGTTTATAGGGATTATCCTTTTTCCATTCACTGAAGCATCAACTTGGTCATAAATCAAGTCACTGTGATACTCTCTATGTATATACTCTCCACTCTCTTGCCTATTTGTCTTGATGCTAATCCCACCCCCTTATTTACTTTAGCTTTGTAATAAGTCTTGAAGTCAGGTGGTAAAAGTCCTCCAGTGTTCAAGTATTTTAACTCTCCTATTTTTGATCCTCTATTAGCTTGTTAGAAAGTCTTTCCGGGGCGCCTGGGTGGCTCAGTCGGTTAAAGGTCCGACTTCAGCTCAGGTCATGATTTCCCCGTGTTGGGTTGTATGCTGACAGCTCAGAGCCTGGAACCTGCTTCAGATTCTGTGTCTCCCTCTGTCTCTGCCCCTCCCCTGCTCGTTCTCCCCTCCTCCCATCTCTCTCTCTTTCTCTCAAAAATAAATAAATATTTTTTTTAAAAGTTTAAAAAAAAAAAAAAAGAGTCATGGGACGCCTGGGTGGCTCAGTCGGTTAAACGTCCGACTTCAGCTTAGGTGGTGATTTCGTGGTTCGTGAGTTCGAGCCCTACTTCAGGCTCTGTGCTGACAGCTCGGAGCCTGGAGCCCTCTTCAGATTCTGTGTCTTTCTCTCTCTCTGCCCCATCCCCTACTCATGTTCTTTCTTTTTCTCAAAATAAACATTAAAGAAAAACTGTTTAATAAAAAAAAAGCCTTTAGAGATCATTTAGTGTTTACCCAAGAGATTATAACATGCAGCCTTGATTTGTGAGTCAAATGCAGATTAGTACTTTTACCATTCCCTGGGAATAGTGAGTCATTAAATGAAATTCAATTCTACATATATTTAAAGCCCACAAGAACTTATTTTTATTGTTTTATAATTAACATACATTTAGGCTTATCCACATGTTTATCCTTTCCGTTCTTCATTCCTTCCTGCAGTTCTATTCTTCCATCTGGCATCTCAATTCTTTCTGCCTAAATTAGTCTATTCAGTGTTTCTTTTAGCATGGTTATGCTGGCAATGAATTCTCTTGGTTTTGGGTTTTGTTTTCTTTTTTTTTTTGGCGGTGGGAGGTGGAGGGTGGGGAGAATGGCTTTATTTCACTTTTGGTTTTGGAGGATATTTTTGCTAGGTATAGAATTCTTTGTGTCCTTTCCTTCAGTATCCCTGACCTGGATTTTTGCCATTTCTACCTGCCCACAGTGTGTACTAAGTCAGTGTAACCAGCTTGATCAGATAACAGTGAGTTTCCAGATTTCATATTTGTCAAGCCAGGATGACTATTTTTTAAGATATGGATAATCCATTGGTATAGGCTTTTGGAAGGCATTTTGCAGAATATATGGCTGTCTAAAGTGCACATTCTTAGTATTCTGGGCTTCTATCCCAATTTTAGTTTACTCTAAAGCATATAATTGCACACGTGTAAAAGTGAAAATAGTGATAATAATAGAAAACATTTATAAAGCTCTTATGATCTTTCTAAGTGCTAAGCACCATTCTAAGTGCTTTGCATATATTAACTATCTCATAGCAACCCTACGAGGTAGGTGTGTGTGTGTGGGGGGGTGCTATTGTTTTCCCAGGCTTACAGAGGAAGCATACAGAGGTCAAATAACCTGACCAAGGCCCTGTAGTTGATAAGAGTTGGACTGAGATTGAAAACCAGGCAGTCCAACTTCAAAATCGTGCTTTTAATTACCACTCTGTCCTAACCCTCCAGGATGTTTATTAATGCATTTAATAGCACACGACAAGAACATGCTAAATGTTCATCAATCAGATCTGGTTAAGTATAGTATTTCCATAGAGTGGAATGTTCTATAGCCATTAAAGTAATGCAGTTCTGTAATCATGAAAAGATCTGGATGGCATATCGTCGATGAAAAATGCAGCTTACAGAACAGCTTATAGTCTATGGTGCCATTAGTTATGAAATTGTGCGTGTCAGGGGGTGGTTATGGATAGAGTCCTCTGCAATGCATTTTTAATAATGAGCCTGACTTGTTTTTGAGAAAAACAATAAAGCTATTTCTGTTTAATGGACAGAGACTGTATCTTACTCTTCCTCTATCCTCATATATTGCTCGGTATGTAATAGTCAGTTGAAAATAAAAGCACATGATGGCTGCTGAATCATGATGGATGAATTACTAAATATTTGAGCTCTATTATTATTTACATGAGGATTGAGGATTTCCTAGAAGGAAGATTTTAGACTTTATTGTCATGAATGTTAACTCTTCTTTGGGAATTTGCATGCCTTAGTGTTTCTTTCTTGCACTGTCTGCCCCCCCCCTTTTTTTTTTTAAAGAAACAACACTTAATTTTGGCAATAAAACCAATACATGAGTTTCAAAGGGCTTACTTCCTGCGTCCTTTTATTGTTTGGGACTCAATTAAATTGGCAAACCGTTGACTAGAAAAATTCCCCTTAGTTGCTATAATCCTACCTCCCACATCTGACTGAAAAAGGGAACTGAGTTCTCAACAGAATTCATATCCATCCGTCCCTTCTCTGTGGTGCTGTTTCAGAAGATGAAACTCACCTCGAAGAGTTTAGAGCTGTGCTGGCTCTGGTTGCCCTTAGAGAAGAATAGCATTTATTTCACTGGCCGCAAAGGGCAAAGGGACTGTTTATCCATTGAAGCCGTCAAACTGCCTGAGAACTAGTCTTATTAACAAAGTATGTCCTTCTGGGACATGAACATGAACAGGGCCACAGCAGACAGATGCACAGGAGTAAAGGGGCTGCCTTGAATCCTATGCTCTGAAAGTCAACATAAGGTCCAGAATTTAATTTTAATCTCAAAATGCTATTGAGGTCTGTGTTTATGTATGTCCGTGGGAATGTTCCTTAAAACATGCTCAATTCAGAAAGGAAGTGAATACTTCATGTATCCTATTTCTTTTTTTTTTTTTTTTAACGTTTATTCATTTTTGAGAGATAGAGTGCAAGCTGGAGAGGGGCAAAGAGAGAGGGAGACACAGAATCCGAAGCAGGCTCCAGGCTCTGAGCTGTTAGCACAGAGCCCGATGCACGACTTGAACCCGTGAACTGTGGGATCATGACCTGAGTTGAAGTCAGATGTTTAACCGACAGAGCCACCTGGGTGCCCCTCATGTATCATATTCATATTTGCACACAAGGCTTCCTGTAAGTGCTGCAATTTACTTGATTCTTCAAAAAAAAACCCAAAGCCTCCACAAAATTATTTCATACGCATTGATTGATGGCACAATTTGGTTTCCACGCCATACCTCTGAGCTCTCGCCATGCTTGTGCAAAGGATCATCCGTGTACCACAATCTTATGCCTCATTGTATCTTGGATCTCACTTCTCCATTTAATAAAGCTACATAGTTTCACCTTCTCACTTGGCATACACTTAGTGGAAAGGAAGTGATAATCCTGTAATTGAGATGGTCCAGCCTCATCAAGGACACCACATGACTGTATTTGACATCACTAGGACGGTCTGCAAAGCAAGACCGATGTTTTTCAAGTCTCTCGTAATCCCCAGTTCCTACTGGGATGCAAGGGCCACAGACCGTGCCCTCCAGAAGTTCTGTTTTGCACAGGGAGCCAGGACTCAAGGGTTCAGGACAACATTTCCTAAGGTCAGTGACAAAGGACTGGCACAGATTTCCTTTTCCTCTAAATGTGAGCACTAGGTCAACAAAGAATCTTCAGATCTTTCTCTTGTATCTGGTTCTACACACAAGAGTTTCTACATCAGACTATCACCTTAGGACTTTCAAAAGCTGTAGTCTCACCTTTGTGTGGTACTCCTATGATTCCGAAATCGTGCTCTTCTGCATATTTCAAAAAAGCACTCCAGAAGCTCTGACCTGCTACATTCACCATGAAAAGCCCATGCTGGCCTCAGGGATTTTTAGCAGGGTGAGATGGTATTGGGCATTCATATTGTAGTCCCCTGACCAGCAGCCTCAGCATCACCTGGGAGCTTGTTAGAAATGCAGACTCTCGGGGTGCCTGGGTGGCTCAGTCAGTTAGGCACCTGACTCTTGATTTTGACCCAGGTCATGATCTCATGGTTCATGAGTTCGAGCCCCGCATCAGGCTCGCTGCTGTCAGCACAGAGCCCGCTCTGGATCCTCTGTCCCCCTCTCTCTGCCCCTCCTCTCTCCCTGCCCCTCCCCCTGCTTGTTCATTCTCTCTCTCTCAAATAAACAAAGAAAGAAAGAGAAAAAGAAAGCAAAAGATAGAAAGAAAGAAAAGGAAAGAAAGGAAGGAAGGAAGGAAAGAAAGAAATGCAGACTCTCCAGCCCCACCTGGACCCACTGAATCAGAACTTGACTTTTAGGAAGCTTTCCAGCAGGTTCTAATGCAAGATACGATTTGAAAAGCACCGAAACACCCTACACACAATATCCCAGCAAATATGGGGACAACGCCAATTAAATTTCGACCTGCATGGGCCTGTTCAATTCTATTGCATTGAACATGACTTTCTTCTGTTCTCTTCTTGCTCAGAGGCCCCTCTGCCCACCCAGATTGGAGAAAAATCGCTTAAATGTTTGACAGTGCCTTTTGTGTCTTGAAGCAGATGGTCCTTCCCTATAGTTTCATTCTTACAAGCTGCTTAGCAGTTGTCAAAGATGATGTTATAACCTGTCTCGAA